AAAAAGGTTCAAACTTATTATTGATAAATGAATAGATAAAGAAGTTTGAGGGAGCCGAGCTTCTTTATCAACTCGAATATCATAAGCTCAATATCGACTCGGCTCGTTTGCAATTCTAGCAACAATCAACCGAGTGTATACTTGAAAATATGAATGATTATTATAAACAAAAGCACATGGGACAAAGCTTAAAGAAATAGAGAGCTAACAGACTGCTGAAAAGCCCATCAATGGCTAGACGGGTTGGGCTTAAAATATTGAGCTTGTGATGGGCTTACTCAAGCAACATAACATGGTCAATTTGACAATTTGTTTTTTATATTATTGATTGTCGGCCATAATTGAGGTGATTATGTATTTAGCTTCTGTCATTTACGGCATAATCTTGCATATAAACCTAAAATTATTATTACTATTTTAAAATGTACAACAAGTTCCCAACATTAATTCCTTTTTGGGAAAACATGTATTGGAATTGTATTTGTCAATTTCTGATATCATGAGTAGCTCATGTGAATCATATTTTAATTGTATCAGTATTTTAAAACTTGTAAAAACTAACTTACCTATCAATTCAAATTGTAGAATAACAAATTATTTTTCAGTAATTAAATTAAATTTATTTATCAAGCCTGACATGTGATACTGGTTAATAAGTTATCATATATCATAATATAATATAATATGAAGGAGTTCCAATGTGACCAATGTTATTTTAAATAAAATTAATTACAGTGAATAAATAAATCATATTTTTTATCAACAATAATAATACTGAGTAGATGGGATTTAATTACTTGGGATAAAATATATGGCAGGGTTTAGGTAGGACGTAGGAGCATAGGCAACACCTCTGTTTGTACATTATGCATTAGAATTTTTCTAAGAAAGTTCCATTTGTGTCGTGGCGTGGTACAATATTTGTTTGGAGTGGACATTTTTATTTGCTGTCGGCTATTTATGCAATTTTTTATGAGTTATGGGCCTATGGCACGTAACAGGGTTACGTCAAATTTTTGGTAAATTCAGCGTGGCCCAGGGGACTAGAAAATTGGGCCACTCTTTAGTCTTTTGAAAAAACTTGGGCCATAAATTAGTATTATCATTAACTCTGGTTGAGTAACAAATAGCCTATATATTTGGTATAGCTAGTTACATTTTTTAAAAAGATACGTTGATACTATTTTATAAAATTTTTGAGATTTATTATTTTAATATTAAAACTTAGCTGAGCTATATATAGTTATTAATAATCAATTTTTATATGTTTAAACTCAAATTTTCGTATAATACGTTAGAATTCTTAATACATGCCCGATTAGCATTATATTTAGATTTAAATTCACGTTATTACTAGGGTCACATTCTCAAAGCTCGTTTACAATTTTGGACTTCTTTTGATCCATACCATTTAGTTTGAAACATGTTATAGCTATACGCATATCGGTGACACTAATAAGATTGTATTTGATAAGCATCATAAATTAGTTTATAACTTATTTAATTAGTTTATAAATTTTTTATAGTAAAATAAGTTTGGTTTAGTAGGACGAATTTGTTTAAAAGGTTTGAATTTATCTCATAAGCTTCATCGGGTAACTTGTCAAATAAGACCATTAAAATATTTATTTCAATTGACTTATCAATTAATTATACTAAACATTTTATCATATCACATACCTTAAGCTAGAAATTCACTTATCAACAATCAACTAATTTATCAGCTATCAACTAATTTTATCAAACATAGCCTAACAAATATCACAAAATATTTACGTATTCATTGAGCATTTTACAATTTGATCAACACACGCTCGTCCATGTATATGTGTGTGTTGATTCAATGGTAAAAAAATTCAAATACTACAATGCAGTCTCTGATAGAATCGGAACTATCCTAATATCACACCTATTTCCATACTCGTGCATAATTATTGATCCAACGATAAAAAACTCGATGGCTACAATGCAGTCACCGATAGAATCAAATTTATCCTAATATCACACATATGTCCATACCCATGTATATGTGTTGATCTAATGCTAAAAAACTCGAAGAATACAGTCAGTGATAAATAACTTAATATCACACATATGTTCAACTTTTTTTATATATGTTGACTCAATGGGAAAAAATTCAATGATTACAATGTAGTCACCGATAAAATCAAAGTTACCAAAATATTAGACCAATTCCCATACTTAACCAATGGATACGAAATTATTGTATAGTAATGAACTCACCAAATGATCAGTTTCTCACATCATATTACAAATAGATAAAATTGTTAAAAGTAACTGTAAATAAAAATACAAAAGTACACTTAATTTCCAAAGTTTCTTTCGCCATTAAATCCTTGACCTCAGATTTTTCCTCAAGATTTTACCCGATGGGGCTCTTGGGATTTTCTTAGTGAAAAACACCTTATTAATCCGCTTATAAGACACCACCTGTGCAAAATTATAAATGAAATTTGTCAGATACATTTTTGTTAAAACAATATAATGGAATGATCTACCTTATAGTTGTTAGGTTGAGTATGATCTACTTGCCACACCCAAAAAAAAATAAAAAATAAAAAAAATAAAAAAGAAAAGGTGTGTTTTTAAATATAAAACAAAACAATATAACTTTGACATAAATATGTTAATGTGTTTTGCGTTTTTTAGTCAGTTAAGTTGCGAAACTACCCGTCACGCAAAATAAATGTGTTTTGTGTTTTTAAATATAAAACAAAAATGAGTTTTTGTTTTACCTATACAAATGTGTTTTTTTTTTAAAAAAATATATTACACAAGATTATTTTTTTTCCCCATATTTTCCAACACACATCGAAACAAAACAAACTCAATACTACTACTATACTACAAATATTAAAACATTAATAATAATAATTATAATAACAATAATAAAAATAATAAAGAAGAATAATACGAATAATAAGAAGAAACTAATACCAGCTTTGAGATGTATTGCTTGATATCCTCCTCCGAAATATTTGAACTGTTTGCCGGAACAACAAACGCAACCGGAACTTCACCGGCGGCCTCATCCTTCATGCTGTCAGATACAAATATGTTATCTACACCACATTTTTTATATTATTCGTACCTTTAATCAAATAACAATTTGTGCAATATTACAAAATATATTCACTAGCTAATTAACTACTAAAAATAGAGCACATGTCCAAAAATTCAAACAAAAAAAAATATTCACTAATGAATTTCAAAAAATTCCATGTAATTCACATATTTAAACATAATATTCACGATTTAATTGCTTAGTGGCCATTTTGTGTAATCACAAAAGTTATTGTATAAAATCATAAAATTATTATCTGTCCAAATTATTTCATATAAAAATGGCGTTCCTCAATTTCTTACCATAAAAATAAAATAAAACTTAATCACGAGTTTGGCAAAACGTTCAACATTTAATTAATTAGTGGACAATTTGTGTATAATCACGAAAGTTGTTAGACAAATTATCATATCCAAATCACGTGGATGTATTTTGCAATTTATCAAATGATTCATCTCAACGTAAAATGGAATCTTGAAAACTCGTTATACAACCATATTTTCTTACAACATTTATGCTCGACAATTAATTGTCGAAATAAAAATATTATTTTATAAAAAATAAAACTTACGGCACAACGGCAGCATCAGATATGGAGGGATGCGCAATGAGCAAAGCTTCTAATTCTGCAGGCGCCACGTGGAAGCCTTTGTACTTGATGAGTTCTTTCAACCTGTCCACAATGAACAATTCATCGTCATCGTCCACGTACCCAATGTCCCCCGTGTGCAGCCATCCCTCACCGTCGATTGTTCTCTTGGTCGCCTCAGGATCGTTATAATAACCTTTTTTTTGTTAACCATCCATGATTAATTTAATTAACCACAGGGTTAAAAATCACAAATCTATGTAGAATCTTTCTAAGTATAAGAGAATTATAATAGGGATAATTAATCTATTTTTTNTATTATAAACTTAATAAAGTTGACAAAGTACAATAAGATATGATCTTAAAGATGTCGAATTTTAAGCTAAATATATCACAAAAAATATTTACAATACATTATTTAGTTTTAATTTATAATTCTTCACTTTAACTTTCAATTATTAACTGTAAATGAGTTTATTGAATTTTCTAATTAAGTCTTCAGTTGGCTTTTTCGAGTTTTTTATTACTACAAAAATACAATTAAATCCATTTTCTAACAAAAAAAAAAGTTTTTTCAATAGTTATACAAGTACAAATATTTTGAATATTTGTACTTGTATAACTATTACAAATATCACCCCTTATAAAGATTGAGGACACGATTTACATGCTTACTATTACAAATTGGTCCACTGGGTGAAATTTTTGTTTTTTCACTGGTCCACTGACCCTGAGTGAATTTATGATTTCAGTTAACAGCTAGTCCTCATTCCAACTTCCAAACCATTGACTATATAACATATGGTTTTTTTATTAAATCAATTTTGGACTGCTCAATTACAATTAAGCTAGCCCTATCTACCTAACACTAGCAAATAGCACTTCTATAAGTACTAAATTTTATAAATTCTTGTACGAGACTTATCCATCGTGTAAAATACAACGTATACCTTTTAAATGTCATAATTATATTTATATTCTTTTTCAAAAGTCTGACATTTATGAAAAGAAAATATATCGATTTACTTGTTAGACCAGCATAAAATAAGACTAATCATTGCATTATACCTTTTAAATGTCATAATTATATTTATATTCTTTTTCAAAAGTCTGACATTTATGAAAAGAAAATATATCGATTTACTTGTTAGACTAGCATAAAATATGACTAATCATTGCATTATACACATCGTGGTCTTGCTTGATAGTAATTAATTACGTACCTTTCATTATGGAGGCTCCTCTTACACAAATCTCCCCCTTTTGGTTCCTTGAAAGAGATGCTCCGGTCAACGGGTCAACCACCTTCATCTCCACATTTCTAACTACGGTTCCACACGAACCCGATTTAAACCCGAATGGTTTTTTGGCAAATCCTAGACAAATTGATATTACTCCACCTTCTGTCATGCCATAACCCTATTCATTTCATAAAAATAAATAAATTAACATGCATTATATTAACTATCTTGGAATAAATTGATTAATCATGATACCATTTTTAGAAAAATTGAAAAATAGTGCATGCATCATGATATCATTAACTAGAATGTAACTGTAAATCTGTAATCATTTTAAAACTTTTTAAGGCCTTTTTCTTTTGCTTATGAAATGGGGAAGGTATCTTGACCTCAGCCCGGTCAACCCTAATTACGTGGTTTTTGTATTTATATANGTTTCAAAAAAAAAAAAAAAATCTTGACCTGAGCCGTTAGATCCGCTCGAGTCAATGTTAGGTGGATTGAAGGCTAGATAATCAATTATTACGGTGATATTGTTAACTTTGATTAGATACTCATATTTGTACAGTTGATTGAAATAATTTTATATTTAAATGTAATTCTAAATTGGTATGTAGTTTTTCTTAAGAAAAGATAGGTGACTAATGCTCGGTCGATTGAGGACGAGATATATGCATGTATTTAATAAAATAATCATAGTTTTTATATGTTTATATATTTTTACCCGAAAGTAATATTATTATTTTATAAAATAATATAGATATAAAAATATGATATTTAATTATATAAGTTATATAAATATGCTACTAATATTCAACAAAAATTTTGGTTATTATTATATCTACAAAATGAAATTAATGTGTGTCACCCACGACATTAAATCTAAAGCGAATAAATATTGATCATTATCCATGTCACGGGTCTTAATTAAGGTATGGGTTTCTACAGTTAGCTATCAAAGTCATTCGTGTACGAAACAGAAGAGTCAACAATAACACCACAATATGTTTTCTTGAAAAGGCAGAAAATGTGATGTGTTTTATTAGTGTTTTTATTATAGACCAAATTAAAACTAAGCAAGTGATAAATTGTAAATTAAAAAAATATTGATATTTTACAATGACCAAATTATAATTTAAAAAGGTTATTACAGAGACAAAAAGTAAGAATGTGAAATCTGAAGTTTGAGAACAGAGCGCAGGTAAAATTACCTAAATCGACAAATATTGGGTATCATATATAATTTTCTTAAATATTATTATTATTATTATTATTATTATTATTATTATTATTATTATTATTATTATTATTATTATTAATATTATTAT